CGCGCAATTGTCAATCAAAGTGCGGCAGCGCTGAAAGCTGAAAATTGGCCTGGTAAGGAAGGGGGTATAAGTGCCCGGTAGGCAAGTGGTTAAACCTGGCTCAGTGATGTAGAAGATGGGCCCTTTGCCTGTGATGGAAGAGAGTTGTCACCAAACTTTAAAAATGGTCTTTGTTACTCGGGTCCGCTGTGATTAGGCGCTACCTTCAGCACGAAACGCATCAACCTGCTTGTCCCCCACCAGGGGCGGACTGACAACTCATGGGGCCCCCGGGCAATAGGGGATCATGGGGCCCCTGTGTCCTTGCCCAAACTCAAAAAAGCCTATGAAAAAGGTACCAGGGGCATCTCATGGGACCCCCTACTGACCCCGGGCCCTCGGGCAGTGCCTGAGTTTCCAAATGGTCAGTCCGCCCCTGTTCCCCACTGTACTTGTTCCATCTGTCATTTGGTTCACACCATAGAAATGCAGTCCAGATGCGTTCTGGATGTGTTTTTAGCATGCACGTTTTGGCGCGTTTTTGATGCATTCTGTTGCATTTTTTATGCATTTTGGACACATTACGGTGCATTTTTGATGCTTTCCGGTTCAGTTTTCCCACTCTCTTATTCATCAGGGCCAGTTCACACTACCTGCATTTCAGTGTGTTTTTTTGCTGAATCCAAAACGCACAGAAAGTAGGTTAAATGGTTATCAATGCCATAGTTCACATCAGTGCTTGCAGTTTTAGTGCGTTCCGGGTGCACAGAACTGTACTGGAATGAGGTAAAATGCATCGGAATGCACCATAAAGGCACTGGATCGCACATGTCCCTATTTAAATTGAAGTAGAGAGGAAAAAATTAACTAGAATGCATCAAAAACTCACTAGAAGGCGCCAAAAGCACATCAAAAACGCACCGGAATGCACAAAAAATGCATCAAAAATGCGTATGCAGAAACGCATCTGGAACACATCTGGATTGCGTTTTTATAGTGTGAACCGACTCTAAATGTTTATGCCGAATAAAGTGGAGTGCAGCCATCTAAATTTTCCTTGTATTCCAAGAGAAATATATACACCTATGAAAATAAATTTATATTTTTTATATTTATTTGATATAAAAAAAATGATATGTAAATACACTGCTGAAAAAAAATGAAAGGAAGACTTTGAAAACCCATCAGATCCCAATGGGGAGGAATCTCCTGTTGGATCTCTATACTGACATGGACGGGGGATGGGTGAGGAATGTAAGGACGCCCCATCGTTTGATGGAAATGAAAATGATCGACTTACAGAGGACTGAATTCACAGACACCCCGAAAATCAAAGTGAAGAAATGATGCAGCAGGTGAGTCCATGTTGGTGAAATGTCATTACAGCAACTCAGAATGGTCCTCAGTAGTGTGTGTGGCCCCCACGCTTGTATGCATGCCTGACAACGTCGGGGGGAGGCTACTAATGAAACCACGGATGGTGTCCTGGGGGATTTCCTCCCAGATCTGGACCAGGGCATCACTGAGCTCCTGAACAGTCTGAGGTGCAAAATGGTGGCGTCAGATGGACCGAAACATGACATCCCAGAGGTGTTCTATTGGATTTAGGTCAGGTGAGTGTGGGGGCCATTCAATGGTATCAATTCCTTCATCTTCCAGGAACTGCCTGCATACACTCCCTACATGAGGCCGGGCATTGTAGTGCACCAGGAGGAACCCAGGACCCACTGCACCAGCGTAGGGTCTGACAATGGGTCCAAGGATTTCATCCACATACCTAATGGCAGTCAGGGGTCCATTGTCTAGCCTGTAGAGGTCTGTGTGTCCCTCCATGGATATGCCTCCCCAGACCATCACTGACCCACCACCAAACCGGTCATGCTGAACCATGTTACAGGCAGCAGAACGTTCTCCACGGCTTCTCCAGACCCTTTCACGTCTGTCACATGTGCTCAGGGGGAACCTGCTCTCATCTGTGAAAAGCACAGGGCGCCAGTGGTGGACCTGCCAAATGCTAATCAAGCTCTATGGTGCTGGGCAGTGAGCACAGGGCCCACTAGAGGACATCGGGCCCTCAGGCCACCCTCATGAAGTCTGTTTCTGATTGGTCAGAGACATTCACACCAGTGGCCTGCTGGAGGTCATTTTGTAGGGCTCTGGCAGTGCTCATCCTGTTCCTCCTTGCACAAAGGAGCAGACACCGGTCCTGCTGATGGGTGAAGTACCTTCTACGGCCCTGTCCAGCTCTCCTAGAGTAACTGCCTGTCTCCTGGAATCTCCTCCATGTTCTTGAGACTGTGCTGGGAGACACAGCAACCTTCTGGCAATGGCACGTATTGATGTGCCATCCTGGAGGAGTTGGACTGCCTGTGCAACCTCTGTAGGGTCCAGGTATGGCCTCATGCTACCAGTAGTGACACTGACCCGAGCCAAATGCAAAACTAGTGAAAAACAGTCAGAAAAGATGAGTAGGAAAAAAAATGTCAGTGGCCTCCATCTGTAAAAGCATTCCTGTGTTGGGGTTGTCTCATTGTTGCCCATCTAGTGCACCTGTTGTTAATTTCATTAACACTCTGATTACAAAGTCTTCCTTTCCATTTTTTTGAGCAGTGTAGATTTGACCAGAAAAGTAAATAGCCTAAAACCATAGCTCATATTCAACCAGAAGAGAAAGTACCTTACGAACATTTGATATCTCCCCATTTGCAGAAAATCCCCGGTTTTATATATATGTTTGAAAATTCCCCAAAAAATAATGAGCAAAAATTTTAATTCCCATAAAAGGATTTTGTTCAGTTTTGCTGAATCAATAACTATGAAAATGTTTTCTAAATAAACTTCTGAGTGTGTCTTGGCAGAGCAGGATTTGTTCTTCCCGGATTATACTTCGGTTTTATAATACGGTCAGATTGATAACAAACATTGCCTGGCAGAAGTTTTATTTTATACTCATAGATATACTGAACTGTGAACATTGCATGTCTTTTACAGTAATAATAGTGTGTGACTGTCGGGGAGGGGACATTAGAGTGTAAGCTCCTCTGGTACAGAGACTGATGTGACTGTGGGGGAGGGGACATTAGAGTGTAAGCTCCTCTGGCACAGAGACTGATGTGACTGTGGGGGGAGGGGACATTAGAGTGTAAGCTCCTCTGGTACAGAGACTGATGTGACTGTGGGGGAGGGGACATTAGAGTGTAAGCTCCTCTGGCACAGAGACTGATGTGACTGTGGGGGGAGGGGACATTAGAGTGTAAGCTTCTCTGGTACAGAGACTGATGTGACTGTGGGGGAGGGGACATTAGAGTGTAAGCTCCTCTGGCACAGAGACTGATGTGACTGTGGGGGGAGGGGACATTAGAGTGTAAGCTCCTCTGGTACAGAGACTGATGTGACTGTGGGGGAGGGGACATTAGAGTGTAAGCTCCTCTGGCACAGAGACTGATGTGACTGTGGGGGGAGGGGACATTAGAGTGTAAGCTCCTCTGGTACAGAGACTGATGTGACTGTGGGGGAGGGGACATTAGAGTGTAAGCTCCTCTGGCACAGAGACTGATGTGACTGTGGGGGAGGGGACATTAGAGTGTAAGCTCCTCTGGTACAGAGACTGATGTGACTGGCTCACTTTCTCTGTACAGCGCTGTGGTATATGTCAGAGCCATGTAAAGGTGTAATAATAAAAGCGTGTGACATTCAAGTTCAGTAATTCATAGTCCCTCACCCTTTGGTCCCACATGGTTACAGGATTTTGCAAGAAAATTTTTCCTTTTTTTCCACAGGTTTCTTATCCAATTCAGCTTTCAGGTTTTCTTTTTCTTTCTCTTTCTCGTTCTTATGTGCGATCTCGAGCAGCATCTGCACCCTCTTCAGGTGCTGCTCCTCTTGGGTGCCAAAGGAAGATGCCTCCTTGCCCAGGAAGTTTACATGATCCAGTATCTTATTCAGGATGGACAGGAAGGTCTTGTCCTTCTTCGGGGTTTTGATGTGGTCCTCTGAAGTGTAATTCTCCACTGGGAATACTTGCTCCATCCCGAGGCCCTTAAACTGCTGCTTCACAGTTGTGACATCTCCAAGATATCTTTTGGTGAGGATGATGATTGGTAGAAATCCTGGAGAGGAGAAACACAACATTTGCATTCTTAAAGAAAGAAGAATGACCCCGAGGCCAATCAGGCAGCAGTCATCTGGGTGACCAGACCAAGTGATTGCCTTGTCTTTCAGGGGTCGTTCCCACCAGTCCTATTGGAGTGCATCGGGTAATGTCACCCCAAAAAGTCCCAACACATAGACAAGGAAATGTGCATTGCTTTAGTTCATACCAATGTTCTGAAAAAAATAAAAATAAAAAATACTACATGTTGCAGTTTTACCCAAAAAATTATATTCTATACTGCAAGGCAATGAGTTGCTGTGCATACAATGGAATAGGGTGCTCTCTGGTGCACATAGTGCACATACATAATACACACCAGAGACCACATGTTATGTTATGTACACCTTGTCCCGTGCCCACTGGTGCAAATGAGTCTTAAACCATCAGAGTGGTTTAACCCCTCCCCCTCCTGAGGATTCCCCCCCCCCCCCCCCCCCTGACCAGGACATTTTTTGTGATACAGCACTGTGTTATTTTAACTGACAATTGCGCGGTCATGCAACACTGCACCCAAATTAAATTTATGTCCTTTTTATTCCCACAAATAGCGCTTTTTGTGGTGGTACTTGATCGCCTGTGCATTTTTATTTTTTTTGCGCTATAAACAAAAAAAGACCAACAATTGTGAGGAAAAAAAAACAATATTTTTGACTTTTTGCTAAACATATCCAGTAAAAAAAATTAAAAAAATCAAATTCTGTCATAAATTTCTGCCACAATGTATTCTGCTCCTTGTCTTGGCTAAAAAAAAATCCCAATACATGTAAATTAATTGATTTACGTGAAAGTTATATAATTTACAAATGGTGGTATAGATACTGGATTTTTTTTTTTTATTTTTTTACTAGTAATGGCGGCAATCAGTGACTTATAGCGAGAGACTGTGGCGGGCATTCTGACACTGGGGGGGAACTAACTTGGTGTCACTGACATCCCCAGTGACATCAATACAGTGATCAGTGCTAATGAAAAGCACAGACACTGTACTAATGACACTGGGCAGGAAGGGGTTAACATGTGGAGTGATCAAAAGGTTAACTGTGTGCTGTTTCTGGCTGTGTGTGCTTTCCTCTGTAAGCACACTGCTATGCAGAGCCATACAAAGCAGTGTGCAGGAGCTGACAGAGAAAATCTGTATTTATACACAGGTCTCTCCCCCGTCGGAGATACTCGGCAATCACCGGGCACCGATGAGTAATCACCGGCCAGGACCCAGTGATTGACAGCCAGGGCCACGAATGCCAGAAATGCAAAATCACGCTTATATACGTGATTTTGCGCACCTCTGCTGCCCTGTAGCAGTATTTCTGCTATAGGGCGGAGGGGGGAAGCGGTCAATATTTAGCACTTCTGTCTGGCAGCAATAGTGTCCACAGTTCAAATCCCAGCCAGGACAATATGAGTATGGAGTTTGCTTGCTCTCCCTATGCTTGGGTGAGTCTCCTCTGAGTATTCCTTCCCTCTAGTACTGCTAACAACCCGCCTTCTTCCTAGCTTTCTGAGCGTCTATCTCTCCTGTTCCATCGCAGCTGCCGGTCTCATTCCAGCATCCTGGTTTTGATTCTCCCTGTCTGCTTGTCCCCTGGAAGGTGATTGATGTGGTCAGTCTCTGAGTGGAGACCAAACCTAATTTAAGCCAGCCAAGCCTGCAGTCTCATGCTTGTGATAGCGCTGGTTACACGTGTTCAAGTTCACTGTCTGTCTGTCCTGCTCTGATGTCTGGATTCTCTTATTGATGACCTTGGATCGGATATCAACTGTTCTCTGAACTCTATCTGTCTTTTTACTAAGGATCTGACCCTGACTATTCTGAACCTTGCCTGCCTTGTACCTGGACTGTTATTGAACCACTCTGCCTGTCTGTCAACTGCAAGTACCTGTTTGCTGTGCTCAGTTCAGGCAGGGCGTGGTGGTCAGGCACTATAGCATTGTGTGTAAGACCTTGGGGAAACTATACCGGTAGGCCTGCTTGCCTTATGGGAAAGGGGTTGTATAGGTGAAGAACACAGAAGCCAGCTATAGTGTCTGACCTGTGTTAGGGGTAAGCATGGCATCTCCTTTAGATTACTAATAAACCACTACAACCACTAAAAGCCTGATTTCGGCTATCCAGCTGAGTGTAAAGACAAATTCTTTCTTTTAAAGCTGAACTCTGAGGATAGGAAAATATTGTCCAAGGCTGTTCGCACTATGCAGGTGCAATGGAGTGAGCCCTCCTTTCTGCTTGTCGCGTGTAGTGCAACCCCTTCATTTTGATGGGCTGCCCTAAGCACAAGAAATGCAGAAAAGAAAGTCCCTGACCATTTTTCACAATTGTTTTGCACTGAATAGCATGTTGCTTTGGCGCCATGTGTTTTGGTGCGCACAAAACTGCGCACATCAGCAGAAGCCTGGGGGTACCATTAATAAGTGGTTATAAAGCTGGAAGGTTTTTTTTATTTCATGTTTTGTATGCATGAAGGTAAAAAATCTTTAGCGTACAGCTCCCCCCTCAGCCCTCCCAATACTTACCTGAGCCCAATCTTGTTCCAGCAATGTGCACGAGTGTAGAGGCTCTCCTGGCTCTTTCCCTCCTCATTGGCTCAGACACATGGCTCCCACTGCACTCAATCACAGCCATTGAGGAGGGAGCAAGAGGGTAGGGCTGAGCTACACTCTGTACATCTTATGGACACACAGATCGGGGGGCTCGGGAGTGAGCATGCACTAGTGTCCCCTATAGCAAGTGGCTTGGTATGGGAACACTCAGTATGGGGGAGGAGCCAGGAGTGCCGATGGTGAAGGATTGGGCTGCTCTGTGCAAAACCTCTGCACAGAGCAGATAAGTATAACATGTTTATTATTTTTAAAATATACCTTTATAATAACTTTAATGGTACCTCTGAGCATCTGCTAAAGGGCAGCGTGTTTCTGTGCGTGTTGGGAAAGCATGTCATTTTGTGTGTGTTCCCATCATGCACTAATGTGAAAGTAGGTTAAATACAACAGTCATCGTGTGTATTTATCATTGAACCTCTCGACTTGCTACAAAGTTACAATGTTGTAGTCTGATCACTGGGGGGAGGGGAGACTGAGGAAATGCTTCCTCCTGCCTGCAGCAGACTGGGGACATCATTTTGGTCAAAGTTACCTGACTGGAGTTGATAAGATAGAATACATAGAATGGTGTTACCTGTAAGCTTTTGAGCATTTTTAAGAAATTCTTTAATTTCTTCTTTCGATTCATCCGCCATTGTACATTGCACACTGAAAATATAAAGCAGAAAAAGAGTTCCAATAAAAAAAGAGCTGCTTTTATTATACAGGATTTATATCGCGCCAACAGTTTGCGCAGCACTTTACAAAATGAAGGCGGACATTACAGTTACAATACAAGAGGAAACAGAGGGCCCGGCTCACTAGAGATACAATGTAAGAGATCTGTAGCATATTCACCTATCGGGCGGGGTATATTTGTATCATTACCAATCTCTTATGAACAAATGTATGAGGATTATTCTTCCCAAAAGCCTTGTGTCCTCAGGCCTCATGCACACAGGGCTTAAAAACACTGGTCTTAGGGTCCATTCACAGAAAAAAATGCCAGAACTAATGATGGGTTTGGTGTTCGAGTCGAAGATAAGTTCAATTGAATCATCAGCCAAAGGGCTGTGAGATCATGGGGCCCCGTACACGCTACCTGACCGGGCCCCTCCAAAAAAAATATCAGTGATATTTCGCTAAAAATACATGAAAATCATGCTTAGCAGACACATTATACCTCACACAATTCCTGCTAAATCTAAAAGATACATCAGTATTGAGGTAATAAACAAAGCTCTCTGTGGAGGAGGTCTGGGGCTCATTCACATGGGCGCTGTGGCTGTACAGTATGAATCAGTGGCTCGTTTATGTGGCTGGAGCCACCGGGAACTGTATGAACACAGCCGCAGGTCCTAATTTGACAGGCATGTGGATGCAGGTGTACGGCCCCGAACACAGTGTGCATCTGGGGCCACTCACCCACATCTTCACACTTGTCAAATTAGGACCTGTGGCTGTGTTCATACAGCCGCTGCATCTCCTTGGAATGACAGGCAGCTCCAGTCTGAAGCCCTCCTTCACACAGCCAGAGTACCTATGGGAAGCAGTGCTTCATTATATTTGTTTAACAATTTTTTTTTAACAGCCCTGTAGGGAATGGGGGGAGAGAGCAGATAAAAAGATACAGGTTGGGCAGTTGGAGCATGGATATGAGGGAGACCGGAAAGATGAGATGGGACGAGAAGTGCCGGAAGGAAGGACTGAGGCCCAATCAATGAGACTGAGAACGTGAATGATCGGAGCGTCACTGCAAAGATAGGAGGCAGGAGTGAGCAGGGCAAGAATCTGGAACTGGGAGGTGGGATGGCGAGGGGGGGGGTGTCATTGGTGAGAAAGTTACGGAGGTAATAGTCTGAGCACAGCTACCATTGGAGCCAGAGCTGCCGGGGAAACAAGGGGGATCTTGTGTCTGTGTCTCTCCGTCCCTCCAGCTGGTGGAAAGTGCATAGTTCTGTAATTTCCTCACCAATCCCCCTGCTCTCTGGCCCCATTGTGTGTCCAGGTCCCCTATAGGAGGCCCAGAGGTACCTCCCCTATCGGCGGCCCTGATTGGTCATTCGTGTGTTCAGCAAACACGTGAATGGTAAGGGTGTTCGGGGGACTGTTCCCCCACCATGCCCCACAATGCACTGTGCTCTGACAGTGTTTTGTGATTGTTCAAAGCAATGCATCTGACCACAGGTCAGGTGCAATGCTTTGGCCAATCTCAGCACAACTGGTTGGAGCTAGCGGTGACTTTTTTTTTTTTTTTATAATAAAGGACTTGTCAAAAACTGTTGTGTTTTTATTCATATTTTACACTTTTTTGGTGAATGGGTAGGGGTACATACCCCATACTCATTCAAAGGGGGGCGGGATCTGAGGGTGGAAGGAAAGAAAATTGAGTCATCTAGGGCTACCTAAGGGTTGGGGAGTCATTAAAGTCAGGAGTTGACCTTAGGTTTAAACGGCTTTGAAGCTTCCAACTCAAATTGAGCATTAAAACCTCTTCAGTGTTATATTGGCGGTAAGGTGCTGGGGATGACCATCAGATTAGAATTTAGATCATTTTTCGGTGGGGATTAGGTAGGGAGCAGTGATGGGGGTCCGGGGCTGGCAGGTGAAATTGTATTGTCATTTCAGGTCTACTTTAATAGTTAGGTTTAGTTAACGAGCTCATGTTGAGATGTTGAAAATTCCAATAACTTCTTCACATGGACGGTATGCAAATAAGCGGCCTCTCCGCGGCTGGGCCTTGATGCCAAGTGGCTGAATATTTGCGTACCATTTGTAAACAAACATGTGCTGAGAGCTCGCACTCTTCGTGCTCCCAGAACATGTGTCGGTGTCCCACGGAAAGGTCCTGATCTCTCCTTGCAATCAGGACCTTTCCGATCATGTGACTGCCATGACAGCCAATCATGGGGTCATATGACCCTCCTCCCGACATCAGAAACCCTTTAAGGGCCTGGAGGGTGCCGACGTGAATGGGTTAAGAAACTAGGCTGGGGTGTGGAAAAGGTTTTGTGGTAGATTAAGATCCCCTTTAAGGTGTCTCCTTTCCGTGGGAGAAGGCTGGTAGACTAGGTGGGTCCTAGTGAAAATGTGGGCAGTCTGAGTAAGTAAAAGGAAGAGGGAGCATCATGCCATTCTCCTGCTCTTCTCCTCTGGAGGGAGGGTAGGGTGCCTTGGAGTTTCCATCTTAGTCCAGGAGAGAGAAGAGAGAGCCATGGAGCTGGTATACCTCTCTGTTTCCTCCATCTTTGGCTAGGAAGAACATTATGCTCATCTAATTGCAGGGACTACAGCAACTACTGGAAGGGCATGGGACCAAGAGTCCGTTCCGTTATTGAACTGTGTTGATCCATTGAAGCCATGCACAGATTGAGTCCAGCCTGCAAGTCCAACATAAACTTTTTAGTCCCCTTTCACAGTCATATTTGATTGTTTATGCTAAAAGATCCTCTACAATTCTCCATGTCCAGTTTGGAGACCACTGATCTAGACCATAAATGTCTCATAAGCCACCACTTCGGGCACATCCTTTGATAAAGTCGTAATGACGAAATGTGTCAGCAAGTGATGTCAGACGTTAACCGGAAGTTCAGCGTCGGTCATCTTGGTCTCAGACCAGGTGTGTGTATGTTGGCTTCTTTTTACACATTGTAAGCACTTTTTTAACTAATATATAGTT